TTACAATATGAAACTACTAGCTGTTACCCGCAACTTCGCTCACGGGGTTTTGCAAACAAACCCCATTTATATTCAGTATTTCAACAACCACAGTAATTGTTATATAACACCTACCGCTGAGAATGTTGAGAATTTCTGAGAATCAAACTGATTTCAATTTGATCAATTTTCTGGAATGTTTACAATTGTTCTATAATCGAACCAATATGCAATAACAAATTTGAATTTAAAAAGATTCAAACATTTGGTTAAAAAATTGAAATATATAAAAATATTTGTTGTTATCGAAACCGTGTTGTTGTTTATGTATTGTATACTGGCACGATGAAGTGACCGTTTAACCAACACTTGGCAAGTTTTCCATCTTTATTTAGTTTGATCTCTAGCTTAGATCTTTATTTAGTTCCATCTCTAACTAAATAAAAATGGAAAACTTGCCAAGTGTTGGTTAAATGGTCACTTCATTGTGCCAGTATACAATATATAAAAATATTTATAACAATGTCTGAAATGTTATCAATTTAATACACCTAAGTACTCAATGAAAACTAAACGTAGTTGAAAACAAAAAATCACATCTAAAATGGTATAGTAGAAGCCGTTCTTCAGGTTAAGCCTTAATCAATTCCCTCTCCCCCTCGGGGGATTTCCAAAAATCCCTTCTTAGTGTGAGTTTTCATGATGTACCCTAACTGTGTACAAAATTTCACCTCTTTAGGTTCAGTGGTTTGCTCTGGGTGATGATGAATCAATCACTCAGTCAGTCAAGTCAGTCAGGACAAGTAAATTTATATATTTAGAAGAGCACTAAGTTTTGGCTCTCTGGAGGACTTATCACACACTATTGACAGTCAAAGTAATCACAAATAAGTAGGTAGGCACAGGTTATTTATGATGACAGTATACATTTCGAACAGGTTGTCTGTCCCTCTTCAGCCATATTTGATACAATTTGGTGGGTTTACAAGTGTTTAAAAAGTACATTCTATTTTGTTGTTAATGCGTGGATGACATCATTTTCAGGCTTTTTCGTACATGTTAAAATATGTTTTCTGTACAAATAGCAACCAGAGATTAAAATTGTTGCTTAATGAAATTAATTGTGAATACCAACCAAATGCCGAAAATCTATCAGGCTAGTTTAAGGCTAATTACTAAATGAATTACGTAACCAATTTGGCTCTAGAGGTAAGCATTAGGCACCATCTCTTATTAACATTAATAATTATAAATAAAGCCATTCATAAAAAAATTCATTTAGTAATTAGTCTTAAACTAGCCCGATAGATTTTCGGCATTTGATTGGTATTTAGCTATATTATATATCGGGTTTAGAGATGTTTGTATTAATTGTGAAGTAAATAGTTTTTGCAGGCAGTCAGCTCATACATCTCACTTCGCACTTTCCTATCTTTCTTACTCTAATTTCACCCTCAAATCCACACTCTTCCCTTCTTACTTCTCTTCAAAGGCTAAACCACTGGTACAGCCTTCTAAACTCTTCAAGACATATAGTCAGCTCATACAAACAATGTTCTCTACTACAGAACCAATGCCACAATGAAATCCTTCTGGCATTTTTTACTACAATTTTGTCATATTTGTTACATATTTAATTTAGCAGGTTTATGTGAATGACCTATGAAAGAAGTGCTATGTAAGTAATTTGTGTTGATGATGATCCAGTTTGGTACTGCTGTTCTGGGTTGCTCTGGTGGATTCTCAGTTGCAGATCTTGCACTGTAATGTGGCTCTAATTGCTACATCTTGTTGTGTGTGGTGGTATTGTTGTCTGTATATTTCTTTGCTGCTGTTTATGACTTGGACATATTGCGACTGGTTCACTTGTCAGATCTTTGTGGTGACTAACTGCTCCTGGTTTTGACTGTTTTTCTGCCGTTTCTCAGTTTTTGGGTTTTGTTGTGCTTGGGTGGTGTGTGGATTGTTGTATTAAACTGCATTTCTTGGTCAGTGGTCTGATTGTTGTTTTTGCAACTACTTCTGTGTTTGCTGTTGTTGTGGAGACCCGTGGCTTTCATACTTGTTATGTTTAGCTTCTCTTTGTTCTTCATTTGTGTCTTATGTTGGTTATTTTCTTGCTGTTTTGTTTTTCTTTTTACATGCAGTTAGGATGCAGTTTCCAATTGATGACAGGGAAGTCTCAAAACTAGCACAGTCAATTGATGCTGGCAATGACAGATATCAACTAACAGACGAAAACAAATACTAACTAACCAACAAGCAGAACTTACACAATTCATTCTCAGAATATGCCATTATTTTTGAAGAAAAAATTGGTAAACAAATATCCCTAACACATACAAATCCAACTACTTTCTTCCAAAACAGTATAAATTCCTCTGTTCTGGTAAAAGAAATCTTCATTTCCAAACATATTGGTTGAAGACTTTCCATTAGTTGGATTACTTCAGAAAGTAAGCAAACTAATAAAAAAATTTATTTCCAAGTTTTGCTATCTAAAAAGATTGCTGATGTCAGTAGCTCTCAATCTCCAAGGAAACTGGTAAATGAACAATACAGAAATTGGAAGAAATCACTTAATTACTACAAGAGGCATGATTTACTACAAGAGGCATGTTTACCACAGAAGTAGGTAGCATAATGGAATTGCAAAATTAAAAAAAAACAAACATTGTAAAGGCAAAATGTTGCCTACTGATCTACAATACTGTACAGTTCAGTTCTGAAATGAAAAACAAGATCAAGGAAAACAAGAAGAAATTCATGACCATTGCAAAATAGTAAAAGTTTGTGGACAGCAAGGAAAGGTGGTCAAAACACTTGCTGTAAATGATGATAACTTCTGAGTCCATAATAGTTGAAGCTGAAACTACAGTATATAAAGGCACTGAACACACCTTACACACTTTTCCAGCAATTAACTTTAAAAACAAATGCTTTTGGCTTGATTGATAAGCCTTTGCCAGGTTTTTAAATAGCAACAGAAAATACTTTGACTTATTAGGTCAGGTATTTCCTAGTGAATTCTCATTTTCAGGAAATTTTCCATTCTAAATAAATTTTATTTTTAGCTTTATCAATTATAATTTTCCTCGTTCTACTTTTTTCTCTTTTAAATTTAATTGAGTTAATTAATTTTACACTTTCCTTAAATCTTCCAGGAATACTTTATTAAAAACAATGTTTTCAGCCAATTTTACAGACCTGCTTTAGGTTTTACACATTTGAATCAAATTGAGTGTTCCAAATTGAAATGTTCCAACTTTAAACTGATTTTTAAAAAAGGAGTTTTTTAAAAAAATTGAATAATCAAATGCATCAAATTAAAAATAACAAACAAATAAATAAAAATAATTAGATATGTGACTATATAAAGTTACAAAAACAATATTCAAAAAAAAATATAAATCAAAAAAATTAAAACAGAAATAACTTTAAACAACAATATACAACAGAAGTGTTAGATGTATTGTTTTAGTTAGATGTTATATAACACGGTGATGACACAATTGTAATTAGATGCTTGTGTGTAATTGTGGGTGTGGCCTTGCTGTAAGGGGTTGGTGATGAATAACTACCAGGCAAGCAACAAGATCTTGTTTTCTTTATTGTTAATGCAATTTAAACCCTTTGGTTTCAAAGCAAAAGATCTTCAATGCCTCTAAAGTTCTTAATTTTAGTTATCAAACCCCCTTTGTATAATTTTTGCTTTATCCCAACCACAAAGCTATAATCTCTAACTAAAGTGGCAACTCTCTGTTGCTAATAATAGCGTACGCAAAGCCAGAATTGGCTTCACTGTAGAACAAGCTGCCATATTGTAAAGAGGAAGAAAGTGTGTTTTCTTTTGAATTTGATGTTAGAAAAGAAAAGGTAAAGATAAAGAATAACAAAAAAAATAATAAAGAAAACATTCAGTTAGGTTTATTTGTGCATTTCCTATATGTTTCATCCATATACCTCTTGCTTCTGGGAAAATCTTCAATCTCACTTTTCTCAATTTCTATTTAGCCAATCTCCATGAAATTTTTTTTATTCAATGCAGAACATGATTATAACAAACACTATTTATCAGGCATTCTAGTCAAGCTTCTACTAGTAGTAGTTTTTGATGCTCTATTTGATTTTCCAATCTGGAAGTTTCTATGTTACACAGATGTTGACTTATACCTTATTAAAAACCTCAACATCTTTTGATCTGATCTGATGTGGTTCAGCCAAACTAATTACAGGTAGCCCTCGGNACACCCGGACAAAATCCAACGAACTTTCGCGCCTTTTCTTTTTTGACGTTGCCAGCCACTCTTGTTGGCAAGTGTTGCCAGACAGAGTTCGTGATCTTGGCAAGTGTTGCCAGACAGTGTTCAGGATCTCTGGCGCTGGCGGCCACATATCCATTACATATTGTTTGATACTTAAAGTGGTCTGTAACTGATTGTAATTAATTGTGTGTAGAACTCTCTATTGCTGATTTGGTTATAGAAAACATGAAAAAGAATTTATTGTATGGATCTTGTGAGATTGTGAGGGATGCAACAACAAGCGGGCCCACCAACAGCGAAAGGGGAAACTTGGAGAAACACGTGGTGGATACAACCCGATCAGGGTGCGTACCCGGGGTGAGAGATTTATCGGAGGGTGTGGGAGTTAGGGACGGAAGTGAAGGAGGAGAGGGGGGAAAAGGAGGAAAGGGTCAGAGTTGAACCGTTCTTCGCCCGCGCTTGACATCGTTGACCGTTAACTGTGTAACCCGCCGTACGAATAATAAAGTGTCTCATCCGTATTCTCATTCGTAGTCTCATCCTTTCGGGTATTGCACATAGACACGACATAAATTGGTGCCGTGACCAGGATTTGGCCAGAACCGACGCCAACAGGTACGCAATTCTCTTGTTACTACCGTTATCCGATCCGTTGTCGTCCCGCTCATCGTTACGGGCTTTCGCCACCATATTGCCCGTCCTCTCCGTCGTTCGCAGAACAAATTTCATTACCCCACCGTCACCATTGATCGAAATATGACCGAGACATTTCCAAACGGAACAAATCCAAATTCCACCAAGGAATTGAGCAAGCTCAGACGCCGCCGTAATACAATTAGAACGTCCGTGACGAAAACGATCGGCAAGATCAACGCCATTTCGGACTCGACGCCGTCCGAGGAAATCGAACTGTCCCGTGACATGTTAAACGAATGGCTTAGGGAGTTAAAGATATTAGATGAAGCTATTCACGATAAACTCGAGGACACGGAATACGAAACCAACGCCGCTGCCTGTGAGGAGAGAGAAGAATCTACCCGACTTGCCGTCATTAGAGCCCAACGAATCCTCGACCGTAGGAACGCCGCATCCGACCTCACCCCGGCAAGCCCCATCAGTCCCGATTCCCCGTCCTTTACCAGGCAACCTCAGGCAACCATTCGCACCAGATTACCCGCCTTGGTCCTTGAATCGTTCGAAGGAGAAATAGCTAAATGGCAACGCTTCTGGGAACAGTTCACAGCAGCCATTGATGAGGATCCAAATATACCGGACATTGAGAAGCATGTCTTCCTTCGGGGATATCTTCGAGGTGAGGCTAAGCGTCTAGTCGATGGCATCGCCATAACCGCAGGGACGTACGCGGAGACCAAGGCACGATTACTGAAGAAGTACGGAGATAAGAACCGTATAATTCAGGCACACATCGACTATCTAGAGAGCTTACAACCTTTAATCCATCCGACCGCCGCCGAATTGAATGACCTCTTCGTTGAGTGCAATAATAGAGTGCATGCCCTGAAGGCGCTGGGGGAGCCCATTAGCCACTACGGACGCATCCTAATGCCGAAAATCCTTCGGGCCTTCCCAGATTCCTTGTGTGAACGATGGCTCATTCATGCTCGTCATAAGGGTACCAGTGAATCTGATCTGGAACTATTGCTGAAGTTTGTGGGAGACGAAATAGACGGCATCACTACTGCCGCTACTATCCATGGAACACAACACCAATTTATGACAAGAGAAGAACCCCGAGCTACAGCAGCCGCTCTAGCAGTCCGAACGAGGAATAAGTCCACGGGAAGAAACTCTAAAGGGAGAGGATCCTCCTATCCCCCGTGTGCCTTCTGCAACAGTTTCCTCCACTTCAGTTCTGACTGCTCACTCATAACAAATCCGAGAAAACGCGCAGAGAAACTGCGCGAGACCAACCGTTGTTTTCTGTGCTTAGGCCAAAACCATACCGCTCGCAATTGTCCTCGACGAGGAAAACTGACATGTCGTCGATGTGGACGCAATCATCACGTTTCGATATGTGAAGCAGACCCAACGCGGACTCACATGACGGTCGCAGCTAACAGACCGACACCACCCATGACCCAACCCCCAACATCTGCTCCGGGGTTTGATCCCTCAACTATTAGCACATCTCGAGCCACAGTGAGTAAAATCGATGTGAACTCAGACTTTACATATCTACAGACAGCTCGAGTTTGGGTTCATGGAGCAAAGGGTACCGCAAGACAAGTTAGATGTGTCTTAGATCCAGGAACCCAAAGGAGTTTCATTGGCACCCCCCTCATTGACTCGCTAGAACTGGAGGTGATTGGATATGAACCGTTGGCAATTCAAGCCTTTGAATCAGATGCTAGTACCTACACATCACGTCGACGAGTGCGACTCACTTTGTCCAGCTGTGTCAGCAGATTTGCTACATCCTTAATAGCTGCAGAATCTTCGAATACGTACCTCCCTCATCCGACAGTATCACAGTTCGCCTACCCCGTCAGTGAGATGCCACCACTAGAACTTGCAGATCCACAGCAGGAGTCATGTGATTTACCCATTGAAATACTAATCGGATCCGACTTTTATTGGCAATTTGTCAAAACGGAAAGCCCTATTCGCATAAATGATACTCTGACATTAGTCCCATCGCACTTTGGATGGATTTTGAACGGTAACCGGACTAATGTTTCAATTCACCCAGTCCAGGTTAATAGTATTACAACCCCTTTGGACCCGATACTACGGTCAATGTGGGATCTGGATACCCTCGGCATCCGAGAGTCGGAGGAAAAGTTGTTGACCGTCCATGATGCACATCTGCTCGACGGATTCCGTCAATCGTTCCAGATCAAGGGAGGAAGGGCAGAGGTCCGTCTGCCCTGGAAGCAGAACATCCGCCTCACAGATACAAACCGCACAACTGCTCTGCGCCGTTTTGAGTCCCTACGTCGCAGATTCAGCAAAGATATAGAGTTCAGCAATATGTACACACGCCACATGCTCAACTACTTCTCCAACGGTTATGTGGAACGGGTTGACGAACAAGCAACATTACAACAGACCTACTACTTGCCACATCACGCAGCAATCCGAAGTAAACACAACATTTCCAAATGGCGCATCGTATTTGATGCTTCTTCTCATGTGAAAGGACACCCTGCCCTCAATGATGCCTTGGAAGTGGGGACCCAACCTGATGCCGGACATCATAGCGACACTACTCCGCTTATGGCAGTCAAGCCTTCCTCCAGCTAACCTTGCACCCCGATGATCGAGATGTCACCCGCTTCTTCTGGTTTAAGGTGATCACCGACGAAAAGAGGCATCTACATACCACGAAGGAATTGGCTGTCTACCGGTTCCAACGCCTGCCTTTCGGACTAGCTTCCAGTCCATTTCTCCTGTCAGCCGCCCTCCGGGAACTTGCTGCCAGTTCCACGATCAGCCACCCCTCAGCTGCCCACATACTGGATAAAGGGCTATATATGGACAACTTTTCAGCAGGAGACGATACTGATCCCGCTGTCATACAAATATATCGGGACATTACAGATATGATGGGTCAGATCCAGCTTCCTATGGCAAAATGGGCTACCAATTCGGAATTGCTGAAGAAGCTGTGGGAAGACACGAATATAGCTTACACCCAGAAAACACGAATTCTCGGAGTAGACTGGGACACCGCAAAGGATGAATTCTCCATAGACTATAACGGCGTCGTTTCGGATGCAGTGGAACACCCCGGTACGAAACGCCTGCTACTTGCCGCAACATCCCGTTTCTACGATCCTCTCGGATTATTCGCACCCGTCTCCATTACGGGGAAAATCATTTTCCAAGACACTTGGCTCCGCGGACTCCAATGGGATGAAGTCCTGCCAGCAGACATCTCAACTCATTGGAAACACTGGCTAGAAGACCTACAACATTTGTCATTTGTGTCCATACCAAGATGGATCAAAACGACAAGACTTAACCTACATCGAGCAAATATCCACGTCTTCTGTGATGCTAGCGAGCGTGCCTACGGTGCTGTTATTTACATCCGTACCAATCTTCCATCAGGCATTTCCACATGTCTTCTCTGCAGCAAAGCTCGTCTAGCCCCCATCAAAAGGGTTACCTTACCTCGGCTAGAACTGCTTGCAGCCTTGGTGGGTTGTCGCCTGTTAAAATACATTACTACGGAAACCAACCTTCAAAGAGAGAGCGCTGTCCTTTGGAGTGACGCCAAGGTGATCTTGGGTTGGATCCGTGGACACCCCAATCGATGGAAGACCTTTGTACAAAACCGAGTGTCGGAGATTCAAAGCATCACCAACCCAAATCAATGGCGCCATTGCCCCGGCACAGACAATCCAGCTGACCACTTATCCCGAGGCCTAACGGCGGAACACCTACGCAGTTGCACATCCTGGTGGCGCGGTCCCCAGTGGTTATCACAAACAGAAGAATACTGGCCGGCCAATGACCATCCGACACCATCCGATTGCGCCACAGAAGAACGCAAACATGTGGTCACCCTGCACACTGCAGCCTATATCGAGTTGTTAGATATATCTCGCTTCAGTAGCTACATACGCCTCCTCCGAGTAACAGCTTGGATCCTCCGCTTCATTACACTTTGCAAAATTCACCCCCGGAATAACCACCCGAAAGGAGAACTCTCAGCAGATGAAGTAAGCTCAGCGAGAGACCACTGGATCAGATCAGTACAGAAGACATATTTCGCTAACGAGTTAATAGCACTCAATTCCGGTGCACTCATATCAGAAAAATCACCCAATTATCGCTTCCACCCATTCCTGTCCAATGGGATCCTAAAAGTAGGGGGCCGATTACAATTTGCAGATGTCCGCGCTTCCACACAGCATCCAATTCTACTAGACGGCCGACACACCTTTACCCGTCTCCTCATCATGGACTGCCACTTACGCCTGGGGCATCTGGGCACTCGTGTGGTTCTTGCCAACCTGAGAGAAGAGTTCTGGATCCTGCGAGCTCGTCAAGTCATCAAGACCGTGCTGCATAGATGCCTACCGTGCCAGCGCCAAAGGAGTCAGCCTTACCAAGAAACCGAAGCCCCCCTCCCTCCTGACCGTGTATTACCCTCTCCGCCTTTCTCAATCACAGGAGTAGACTTTGCCGGCCCACTGTATATCCGAAAGGGTCAGTCGATAGAGAAGTCGTACATTACACTGTTCACCTGCGCCACTACGAGAGCTGTACATCTAGAGCTGTCTTCGAGCATGTCAACAGACAGTTTCCTCCTTTGTTTACAGTGCTTTGTAGGACGGCGAGGCCTCCCTCGCAAAATTTACTCCGACAATGCCAAATCATTCCACGCAGCCAACAAAGAACTACGGGATCTCTGGCAGTCACTCTCTGATAAGCAGATTGCCCACTACTCTGCCCACCACGGCATCACTTGGATCTTTAATGTGGAGAAGGCGGCTTGGTGGGGAGGATGGTGGGAGAGAATGGTGGGGAGCGTGAAGAGATGCCTCCGCAAGATACTAGGGAAAAGCCTAGTAAATGCAGAACAGATGTCTACCGTACTCACCGGGGTAGAAGCCGCCCTCAATAACAGGCCTCTGGTACACAATTATGACACCGAGGAGCCAGAAGCACTTACTCCCTCTCACTTCTTGATAGGGAAAAGAATCTCTGACCTCCCAGAGCCTAATAATCATACCCCAATTCATGACCTCGTGAGACAGTGGCGTCACCTACAGTCCATCATCGACAGCTTCTGGAGACGATGGCAAAAGGAATACTTGCTTGACCTACAAAGCTTTCATCAGGTTCGTAGGGTCAAGAAGAAACTGCCACCACCCCGGGAAGGAGCGCTTGTCCTTCTTAGGGAGGACTCGCTGCCTAGACAGATGTGGAGGACAGCCGTAATCGAGGAGCTAATTACCGGCCGCGATGGTTGCGTGCGAACATGCCGTCTGAGGCTCCCTGATCAGAAGCGCATCAGCCGCCCCATCCAATTGGTCCTCCCATTAGAAGCAGAGGACCAAGGTGGGGAGGATGTGAGGGATGCAACAACAAGCGGGCCCACCAACAGCGAAAGGGGAAACTTGGAGAAACACGTGGTGGATACGACCCGATCAGGGTGCGTACCCGGGGTGAGAGATTTATCGGAGGGTGTGGGAGTTAGGGACGGAAGTGAAGGAGGAGAGGGGGAAAAAGGAGGAAAGGGTCAGAGTTGAACCGTTCTTCGCCCGCGCTTGACATCGTTGACCGTTAACTGTGTAACCCGCCGTACGAATAATAAAGTGTCTCATCCTTATTCTCATTTGTAGTCTCATCCTTTCGGGTATTGCACATAGACACAACATAGATAACATCAGTTTCTTAATTGTGATGACTTTATGGTTATTTTAGTCTTTTAGTATAACTTGTGTATTTTTTATCTGGTAATCTTTATCTGGTAATCTAAACACCAACTGAATAGGACTACTTTAGTCTGAAATGCATTTTGGATGTATTGTATACATATTAGATTTAATTATTGTAAAGTGTCTTTGCTTTGTAGCCTTAAGTATAAAATAAATATAAGAAATTTTGTGTTTGTATTCACTGGTGTCATAAGCTCTAACATAAATAACTGGTTTAAGTTAGTAGAAACGTTTAATGAAATTAAGGGCAAAAAGCAATAAACAATATATTGAAAAATAACATTTTTAGACCCACTTGATGCATCATTAGCTCTTCATGCAGAACTTTAGAACAACTACAAAAGGAATTGACAGTTCTGCATGAAGAACTGTGATTGCCCAAATGAGTTCAAAAACATTACTTTTCAAATAAACTTATTGATTTTTTCAACTTAGTAGTTTATCTGTTCAATTTTGTACATGGTGCTAAGTTTTAGACAATTTTTTGATAAATATTTATTAGTTTTTACTTATTTGAAAGGTATTACATTTGATAACCACTAAATACAGACTTTTAACACTGACAACACTCTCAGTAACCAAAATTCAACAAAATAATTCACATAAATTCAGCAAAGATTTTCTTCCATTGTAAATGAACATCATCAGCCTATGTTGCTTGATCTTTGAATAACTGAGGTTGGAATGTGTAGATTCAAATATGTGACAGCTCATTCTTTGGAGGAGTCAGAATTGTGGTCTTCTTGTGGATCCAAAGATAAGTTATGGAATGGCAGTGATGTAGGCAAAGTTTCCATGCTGGTGAAAAAGTTTCTGTGTCATTAAAGTTAATGGCCATGCATCTCAAAGCAGCCCTGTGTATCTCCAATAGGTCCAGGTATCAGAGTTGTGCTCTATTTTGTATGTGATGGAGAATTCTCACTTGGTCAAATGGGCCAAGACATCAGGGCCTCAGGCATATGCTGCAAAGGCTGTGGAGATGTGACCCTTATTTATATTCATCTAAGGTTCTTTCAAACTGATGGTTATATATATATATGTTGGCTAGTGGCCTACATACTCAAGTGATCTATTGCATATATTGTCCTGAAGTGAGATGGAATACACCCTAATAAGTGTCGCCAGTTGGGAGGGTCCTTGACATTCCTGATAAGAGACAAAATGGTAGGAGGGAGTCCTTTTGAAAGCCAGTATGATGGAATACAAGTTGTTGTGTCTAGTGAAATTGCCAGACACAACAACTTGTATTCCATCTTTACATTCTTGTTATAATTCATTTTCTCTGAAAAATCTTTCTAAATCTAGCAGAAAATATTTAATATTAAAATGTGTTTTTAATATTTTGCTTGTATATGATTAAATAATTATATTAAAATAAAATTTTTTATAAACATAATATTTTTATTTAACTATTTTATTTTATATTAAAATGAATATAAATTTATTTTGGAGTGGAGAAAATATAATTTGTTAATTTTTTTAGACTGTTAGACCTTATTATCCCTTCAATAATATATTAGTGGAAGATTTTACAATAGGATCAGAAAATTGTAAAAATGTTAAAGGATATTGTAATGGTCCACTTAAATCTGGCACAAAATATAAAGTGAAAATTCGAGCCTTTGTTTCACCTACAAATTTTTCTGATACCGTCTTTTCACCACCAATTCAGACAGGTTTGTTCAAATTAGTTTAACAATTTATTTATTTATTTATTAAAACATCTAATAATTTTTTCATTTATTTTCTTTTTAGACACAGATAATAAATTATTGATTATAATAGTATTGGTAACACTTACATTAGTACTATTCATTATTCTAATAATTGTGATGTTAAAGAGAAGAGGAAGTATATTTTCAAGAAAACAACGAAATTCTGTAAACAAAGAAGACACTTTATCAATCACAGAAAGTGAATTAATTACAAAGTAAGCTAAAACAACACTTGATGTGAATTTGATTTGTTTGCTTTTTGTTAATTTTATATTGTTGTCTTTTTTCCATATTTAGTCGACCAATCAAATTGAAGGATTTTCTTGACCACTATAACATTATGTCAGCAGATTCAGATTTTAGGTTTTCTGAAGAATTTGAGTTACTGAAACATGTTGGGAGAGAGAAGCTCTGTGCAGCAGCTGATCTACCAGTTAACCGTCCCAAAAATAGATTTACAAATATACTACCATATGACCATTCTCGAGTAAAATTGTTACCTACTGACGATGAAGAAGGTTCTGATTATATAAATGCCAATTACATTCCTGTAAGTTTTTTTATTTTTTTGTAGCAGAAATTTCAAATATTATACATATCAGTTATATGTAATAATGTAAGGACTAGAATAACTTTATGGTATAAGAACTGTTTCAAGATTTGCATATTTGATAACTTTAGGATGATAACCTTTTTTAGAGAGCTGACAAATTTAATCTACATGAATGGATGGTTCCAAAAGAAGAGATAGACCAATTCCTTTTTTAACCCTCGGTTAAGCGCGCGGGGTTATATAGAACCCCGCGCGCACAACTGTGCGTGAATCATTAACGCGCTTTACCGAGGGTTAAAACTAAATTTAATGTTTCTAGTTAAACTTAATTGTTATACATTGAAGTTCTTATTTCCTTCTAATAATATTACAATAAGTTTTTTGATACAGAAAAAGAGATATTCAAGAACTGGTGGTGAAGTACTTGTCAGTCTCAAAAGGATATTCTAGGGTCAAATTCAGCAGAGTTGAATAATTATTTAGAATCAGATGTGGAAATATTTACCTGTTTCTTTTCAATGATTTGAATTGGGAGAGATTTCTTTTTTCATTGCTTTTTGTCAAAAGATGATTTTATGGGTAGTGAGTGAGAGGGACTCTCATGAATATGTTAGTAGTTTCCATCATCATCAATTATGGGTAGTGAGTGAGAGGGACTCTCACTCACTCACCCATAATTGATGATGATGGAAACTACTAACATATTCATGGTTGATCACTTGATTTTAAGTTATCTAGATAAGTTCAGAGAGAGCAGTGAGAGGATTGTTGAAGTTGTGATAACACAGATGACTCTGTTTCACCTTATGATAAAGATGAACAACTCTGATGCAGAGGGGTGAGGAACTTCTCTTTAACATTTTTCCTGTCTTTGGTCTACCAAACTGCAGTATTTAAGTAAATTAAATTAATGTAGTAATTATAAGTTGTTGTATTATTGTCAACTTAGTTGAATCCATTTGGGCCTTTTTTACATTACATGTCTATAGACCTCTTTGTGCTTTTTGAGTAATGAGAGATTCTTGATTTCTTAATCTTACTACTAAAAAGTATGAAACTTTTTATTAAGAATATGATCATCTTTTTTATTTTGATAAATTTGAATTGTTTAGAGAAATGCACATTGATATTCATGCAAATAAAGCAAAAAGATGATATCATTTTTAATGTTGATTTTGCAAATTATTATTTTGAATTAAATTTAATAATTATTAAATAAACCTGAAATAAAATTATTAAATTTAATTCAAAAATTATGTAACTTATTAGTTAATGTTATAGTATAAGATAGCAGTCTAACAACTTAGTGTAAAAAAACTATTTTATTGTTGTTGTATTAGCTTTTGATCTGGAATTTGGGTATTTCTGTAATAATTAGATATTTTTTTACAGAAATTATTTTATATTAATTATTAATAGTAAGCCAGACTATAGTCAAATAACAGTCTAGTATGTTTTGGCAAAAGAAGAATTTTCTCCGTTAATTCACCATTATTATTTGGCATTAATGTTACTTAATATCAGTGTTGTTGTAACAGTGATATGTAATAACAAGTTGTCTCAAAATTTCTATAAAGTGTAGACTAAGCTCTTCTTATAGTATGAATTGGCGCATATAAATTTTAAAACATTTTGCAACTTTAAAATGCTAAAAATTATAAATTTAATCTCAAATTTTATTAACATTAGATTATTAGGTTTTTGAAATATTTTAATTATTTCCAAACTCCCTTGTAATTACACTTCCCACTCTCAGTTTGAGGGCAAATGTTAATGAACTAGTCTAAAAATGAAAACAAAATAAAAAATGTCTATAAAGTGTAGACTAAGCTCTTCTTATAGTATGAATTGGCGCATATAAATTTTAAAACATTTTGCAACTTTAAATGCTAAAAATTATAAATTTAATCTCAAATTTTATTAACATTAGATTATTAGGTTTTTGAAATATTTTAATTATTTCCAAACTCCCTTGTAATTACANTCCGCGGAACATAATTGACAAACTGGTGTCGGGACCTGACAAGATCTAGAATTCACCCTCTAGATCGTTTTTAAACATTTTTAATCGCTCTCCTATAAAAAGTTAAGAGAACCGATCTCACGATCGCGTGCCCGTAAGTGGCGTAACTGTGGTTACGTCCCTGGCTGATCTCACACTGTTTTTTTCTTTATTACTAGAGTGTTAAGAAACACAAGGCATTTTACATCATCTTTATTAATCTTCCATAGGCCGATATGTGTTTCAGGCAAGGCCCCTCATCTGTCAGCATTACATCTGGAATTTTAGAAGATTAATTGGGGCTCCATTTAAATAAGTTGCTTCTAAAGAAATCTTAAATAATGTCACTTAAAATTTTTTTAATAATAGAGGATACAAACACTAATACAATGTTTTATTATTTATTTTTTGTTTATTTAAATTTTTTGTACTTAAGCCTGGTCCCTCTGAATTACAGGCCCTAGATATTTGTCTTATCTGTCTATTGGTTAATCTTGAACTGACTGATATAATAAAGTTTTAGTATAAAATCAAATTTTTACAAAAATAAAAATTAGTTTCCTTTGTCTGAAATAAGTAAAATAATTTATTTTATATTTATTTAAACAAAAAACAGTTATTTTCTTTTTAGAAATTATTGCTATTAATTCTTTGAAGATAAACAGTAATATGATTACTTTTAAGGATAATTAATAAGATTATTTGTATGTTATAAGATTTAGTTAAATACTTATTTTATTATGTAGAATAAATTGATATATAAAATGAATAAGTATCCAGTTTTGTATTTAAGAACTAATTTTACATCTAGGGATTTAATTCTCTAAGGGAATTTATTGTTACCCAAGGACCTTTACATAGCACCAGAGATGATTTCTGGAGAATGGTTTGGGAACAGAATTGCAGGGCTATTATTATGTTAACTCGTTGTATTGAAAAAGGAAGAGAAAAATGTGATCATTATTGGCCTTTTGATACACAACCTGTTTATTATGGAGATATCCAAGTAACTATTTTAAATGAATCTCAGTATCCTCATTGGACCATATCAGAATTTAAAGTTTGTAGGGTATGTTTAAATTTAATATATCTGATTTTACAATTACTAGCTGTAGTAATCAATTTTCATATTATTATTGTTCTTGTTTTACATTGAAGGGAGAACAGTCAAGAATTGTACGACATTTCCATTTTACAACATGGCCTGATTTTGGAGTTCCCGATCCCCCACAGATATTAGTGAAATTTGTAAGGGCTTTCAGAGAAAGAATTATTCCTGATTCAAAACCAGTTGTTGTACATTGCAGGTACTGATATTTATTGAATGTAACATAATAAAAATATAAAATAATTATGATGAATTACAGGAGTTAAAAGTATAGAATAACTTATCTAAATTAAATGAATTTTGTCACAAATCTAAAGAATAATTTTAGCTGCTTTTGTTGCATAAGATATTTTAAAGTGGCATATGGCTATCAACTGGTTAAATGAAAGATTGTTACTGAATGGACATATTACCAATAGCGATGGAAAATAAGGTAAAAGGATGGAAAATGAACAAGTGAAAACATGAGATCTATTGAAATGGACATAATAGAGAATAAAAGTACTAATGCAGTTTTGGAAAAGAAAACAAAAATGATGACAGCATTTTTCTAGGGAATTAAATAGTTAAACTATAATGAAGAAAGAGAGGGTGTATAAAATAACCTTATATACAAATACTTTATATGAACATTATCAATGTTAAAGAATTCAATCTTTTTAAAAATATTCTGTCACAATTAGTTATGACAGAATATTTGTCATGACAGAAACAATGATCTACATCAAAACAGTTGATGTCAGTGATCATAATAGGCTACATAATAGCTTTTAATTACTCAAAATTGCCTGTTAATGTATTTTTGAAAGTTTGGGATGACATGCCAGCTAAGTTATATATACAAGCAATGTTTCAAGAGTACAGTACTTCTGTAAGTTATTGTGTAATCTTGAGATGAAATTTTGTGTAAATGGCCCTAGATAAATGAATCCATGTAACTTTACTATAATTATACAGTAAAATACCTCTTTGATATAATATGTTACTCTTTTATGTATGTATGTATTTATATGTTAAGTTCATGCAATCCAAAAAATAAACTGATGAATTGAAGTATTGAAGCACATTGATGAGTTTTGGCATTTCAAAATCAAAGATTTAACCTATAGCCATAAACCTAAGTTAAATATATTGTTATATACAGTACTATAATATAGTTTTCTTAATAAAGTTACTTTTTGTAAAATGGAAATCTGCCAAAACAGAAAACTCTGATTGATATTGTGATATTTTGTTGTAAACAGGTTTTACTATGTTTATATTTTGGAGAAGTGATATGTTGTTTAATTACAAATTTCATTTATTATGTATAACTGTCTGATTAAAATGATTTAATTGAAACTTTTAACTGTAATTTTTAGTGCGGGTGTAGGAAGATCAGGAACATTTATAGCTCTGGATCGACTTCTTCAGAACATTCAAAAATATGATTTTGTCGATATATTTGGAATTGTTTATGAAATGAGGAAAGAAAGAGTTTGGATGGTTCAGAATGAAGTAAGAAATTTTTATTTCATTTATTTATCTAATAATGTAACAACTAATTAGTGAGATAAATATAGTGATATAAAGTTGAAGTGAAGAATGATACATTACTTATATTTTGCATTAATTAAATATTGGTACAGATGAATTCATAATAAACCAATATATATACACAGTATATATGTTGTGTGTATATATATATTTTATTCAAAATATATATATATATATATATTTTTTGAATAAAACACTAATATATATATTAGTGTTTTTTATTCAAAACTATAGCCATAGATTCTGTCAAAACAATGTTTATTCATGAAATGATAATATAAAAGTAGTTTTTCATATAGCATTAGAGGATGTTATAATAAAGATAACATCCTAGTACTTTTAAACACAAACTTTTTATCATCAGGAACACAATTAGGAAACAAACACAAAACAAGCAATTATTTATGAAATTTCTGTTCTGTTTCATAGGATTATATAAAATCTTTCCAATAAGAATTTTATTTTTGTTAAACAAGTATGTTTTATAATAAATATTTTTCTTTTAAACAGCAACAATATATTTGTATTTATCAATGTCTGTTATGCGTATTGGAAGGAAAGGAAGATATATTAGATTCACTAAGACCTGAAGTTCATGATAATCAGGCTTTTGAAGGTACTATTTAGTTTCTTCTATTTTAGCTCATTATTGAATTAACTAAAAATAATCTTTTCACAGATGATGAAGGAATTGCTGAATCTGGAATTTAAGTGATTTTTATACTGGATTACAAAGTAAAGAAATGTTTAGCTGTAAAAGTGCAAGTTATTTTTTAATGTAATGAAACCATTGTGATTTTATTTTTATACAAACATTTTTTATTAAAAAATGATAATTTCTGTAATTTTTACAAAAATGGATGCTACAGAAATTTCATTTAAATTTCAGGGATGACAGATTTATATATATATATATATGAAAAGTGTATATATCTAAAATTTTTAATCTATTTATATATTTATTTTTCTTAATGCAATACAGTTTTGTTGATTTTTTTTTATAAAATTGGTGTTAAGGGAAGAAACCTATTCATATTTTCCAGAAATGTTAAAAATGAGAATGAATATTCTATTGTTAAATTTATTTGTAAAGTCATAATTATTGAATAAATATTTTATTTAATTTGGCTTGTTCAGTTGATTGATGGAATGGTTCATTTGATGATAGTCACTTTGCAAATGTTGGGTGATTAAAGAAGTTCACCTGGTTTTGCATTAGAGCTAGTAGAACTGAGTTGAGTTGAACCTGTACACAGGCAAAGAAAACTGCTTTGGGAAAACATGTGCGTCTTTGGGTTGGATAAGTACTGAAATGCGGTTCTTGTTTTCTTCTTGTGATAATGAACAACAGCTTTCTGCCACACAAAACTTCAAAAAATAACTGTTGTGTGGTTAATTGTAGTGTTACCTATATTACTGTGCTGCCAGGTACAAAGTTTTATTCGTTCCCAAATGAACAATACCCTGGCAAAAAATCATTAAAAACATTATATTATGTGTTCCACTAAAGTACTCGATTATGTGTTGCTTTATAAATTTATTGTGTTCAAATTACTAGCAAATTATTGAAATATGTATACATTATAAAATGACTTCAAAAACCAAAATTAAAATGTCAATTTTTTTTAATTTGATTACATGACAAATGTAATCGCCTTGTATCATTACTTGTTTCTAATTGTAAATGCATGTCATTCATTCTTGTATTGATAACTATGTAAATATTGAAAGAAAAAAGAAATACCTTAATTTCAATATGGTAGAGTTTGTTGGGTTTGGGAAACAACTTCTCTAGTGATGATAGTTGAACCTCGATTCATGTTTGGTTCTGTATTCTTGTCCAATAAAATTTCTATTAGTTTGGAAACGTGTCCACATTTAAACAGTTTCTCTCCTTTTTTTAAATTACTTTTTCTCAAGGTTTTGGTTGAGATTGCATCAAAACTGCACTGCCTTCTAAGAAACATTATTTGTTGGGTCCAAAAAGGAGAAGCATGTGCTGCCCAGGGTTGTTCCAAGCCTTTCTAAAAAAGGTACTAAAACAAGTACTAGATAACAAAAAATAGTACTAAGTTTTCTTTAAAAAATTGACCAGTAATGTGCAATAGTATTTTTTAAAAATCGATATTAATATCGATGTATTGATTCTGCACATACATAAGTAAGAATGATCTACAATCACTTCTCAAGTTATGACCATTTTGACTTACATCCAAAGTTGTGAAACCGAATCTCATCGTAAGTCAAGAAGTGACTGTATTGACTAATGCAGGCATTACTTTGACCATAAACTGTTAAATGTATGTATATATTATATGTGTATATTATATATTATTTAAATATATACTTATAAATAGAAATTTGATAAATTTATAATTTATACAGTGGAGCATCGATTATCCGACTCAATTGAGGACTGGGGTTGGTTGGATAACTGAAAAAATGGATAACCGAAAAATATGAAAAAATACATTAGTATAGTATATTAGCATATCTCATGTAATTAGTATATTAGTATACCGCTATTAACCTACTTCACGTTGAATTTTCATTGATGTTAAGCCTAACAAAAATTTTTTAAAATAATAATCGTCACTATTGTATCGTTAAAAATTAGAAAATTAAGCCTCGTTTAAATACTGGCTCCCTTTCATGGTTGAGCCAGTGTTGCCAGCTAAAACACGTAAAAGTACTATTAAAGTAGCCAAGACAGCTAAATATTGTAATGCCACATCACTAGTGAACATTTGAATTTGCCGACTAGAACAGTCGGTTAACCGATATGACGGTTAATCAGGGGTCGGATAATCGATGCTTTACTGTATATTATTTATTAAAATATGTATATAGTGTTACATGTAACACAAAATTCATACAAGATAAATTCATATATTGCAAGATTGCTATTATTTCTCACCAACAATCAAATGAACAAAATGTTGAAACAAAAGTAATGAACACGAAGTACTAAACTTTAAAATTATCACATTGAAAAATCACTGGTAAGAAGATCATCAGAATCTTCCTCACTAGAATGTTTTTGTGTGGTTGAAGCAGATGATGGTTTCCAAGTGTAACATTTTATCATTATTGCTTTTAAGTAGCTCTTTTGCTAATAACAGTGTTTCACAGGAATCGGTAAGAACTCGATTTTGTGATTTAGTTTTTATTAAATTTAATTGCAAAAAAAATACGTTCAACTGCTGCACTTAAATGAGGAAGCAATAAAAACATCTATTTACTGCCAAAGTAAAGTAAAAAAATACAAAAATATAGAATAAGAATGAATGTTTTGAAAGGTACTAAATTGAAAGGAAAGGTATTAGGATTTCATGAATAGTTCTAAGAAAATGGCATTGGGTATCTTGGTACTGGAACAAGTAAAAACNAAACATCTATTTACTGCCAAAGTAAAGTAAAAAAATACAAAAATATAGAATAAGAATGAATGTTTTGAAAGGTACTAAATTGAAAGGAAAGGTATTAGGATTTCATGAATAGTTCTAAGAAAATGGCATTGGGTATCTTGGTACTGGAACAAGTAAAAACATACTAGCAGTGCCGGCCCGAGGCAAGTTTTAGGATGGAGCGAGATCCTATTATGGCGCCCCCTTGGTCAATAGCGTAGCGAACATAACTGACGCTCGGAGCACGACATTTTATTGGCGCCCCCTCCAGAAACACATATAGTTTGTTTTGGAGACCATTTGGGCGCCCCTTTGCGAGTGGCGCCCGGTGCTTGATACACCCCCTTGCACCCCCTCGCTACGCCACTGCCCTTGGTTGCCCCAAATTTATACCCTTTAATTTTCTTTACCACTGAGGCGCCCCCTAGGACTTAGCGCCTGGAGCGGCTGCTCCTTTCGCCCTATGGTAGGGCCGGCTCTGCGTACTAGATTAGTACAAAAGTGCTAGGTGGAACAACACTGGTGCCGTCTTGTAGCCCCAATTCTGTTACCTGGCATCGCCACTAGAGGTGCCTCGATCTGGTTTCACTGTTTCTTCCACTAGCTCTATAGCCACTATTGATAAACCACACAAACTAATTTGATCACATGATACTTTTTTGTATTATTAAAAAGTAGTCAGATCTATGTCAAATTACTACAATCATTGGCTTATTTATTATATTTATGATAGCTGATTTTTATTTAAAAATTTTAAAAATGATATTTTCTATTTCCAATAATTGCAAATATATTAATTATGCCACATTGAATTTAGACATAATCAATAATGGAAGATGTTTCCTATAGCTTGAACCATATTTATAAAATGTCAATTATATGAATAAATATTAACTTTTTAGGCTTATTTTTTGTTTCTGAAGTTTAATTTCACATTGTAATTAGAATGTTGAGTAAAATTTTATAATCTGTTGACTGGCAAAAATTATTTATTAGACAAATACTTGTAAGAGTGGAAATAAATTAATAAGTTTATAAGACTAAATGTTTTTTGAATATTGTATATGACCTCAAAACTCTGGTTGATAGCAACAGATATAGTGAACGAATCTGCATGCTCATTCCCAGGATTACCATTATGTGCTTTGATCCAGCTAAAGGAGTAACAGTTGTTTGATGCAATGATGATAATATGTATATCTGTGATGAGAGGATGAGTGGATTGGTTATTGACAAGATGAATAGTGGAATTATTATCAGAAAAGATGGAGTTGTTAATGTTACTATAATTTTGAGTAGACCAGTTGAGACTTGAAGAATTGGAAGATCTCAGTGTGGAAGATGCTGCATTGACAGTGAAGTCTGAGATGAGAATAAGATTCAGTGTCACCAGTGAAGACCACAAAACTACAGCCTGTGCCGTCAGGGGATTTAGACCCATCTGTATATATGATAATGTCAGGATGATTAAAGCAGTGGTTGTTAACACTGTGTAATAAATTTGGATTAGGAGTAGAAGATATATTAATCAGAGTTTCAAGTATGTTAGTTACTGGAAGTCCATTACAACTGTTGCTGTCCAAACCTCTTTTTAGAAGAATTTTAGATATAAGAAGTGTCAGACACAAATCAAGGGCTGGTTTCTTAGTGATTATTTGTAAACTGGTGTGCTGGAGTTTAGTCCCCAAGTACTTTTAGCAACCAACATCACTAGCAAATCTTGCTAGTGATGATGGTGATGTGTTCAATATGCAGGGTCCACAAAAGTTTATGATCTAGGATGCACACTGCTGAGCAGTGCTGCAGTTTGAAAATGGTGGATCTCAGTGTAGCTGTTGGAATGGTCTGTGAATTATTTAATTCAAAACATTTTAAAAGTAGTTTACTTTTGCAATGCCTCATTTGGGAAGCATAAACAAGACTGTGATGAAGTAATTTCTGGAATGATAAGATCTGTTGTTGTACAGCTGCAGAAAAAGGATAGAATACAAATATAATATGAGGAAATTATTTTTCAATACAGTGATCTGAGTTTTAAAAGTCACTTTAGACTTCAACGTGAAAGCATTGAGTACCTTTTCGAGATTCTGAAATTAAATGAAACGAAAACAATTGGACAGCAATCCATTCTAGAGATGAGGGAAAAAAAGGTTATCCTACTATCCTTATGGATTTTAGGAAATCAGGAATTCTTCAGGAGAGTAGGCAATCATTTTGGACTAGAAAGGACATGCCCAGAAGTTGTTTATGGTTTTTTGCAAAGGTGTTTGCAATTTGAAACAAATTTTTATTAAATGGCCTGTTGATAAGAAAGCCTGAGAAGTAGAGAGAAATTTTTCATTATTAAAGGGCAGGAACAGCTTTCCAAATCTTTTTCGATGTGTTGATGGGACATTAACCTTTTCCCTCTCTCTTGCGGAGGGAATTTTAAAAAATTTCTTCTTAGTGTACATTCTCTTGACGTAATTTGAATACGAAAGAA